ACCACCTACTATAAACTATATTTATAAAATCATCGAATGACATAAGAAAATATGAACACGTTAAAAAAAAAAAAGAAAAAAAAATTCCATGCGAAACGGATATCTTAGTAACGAGCGAGGCGGCGGATAATCGAATTTTCTCGAGTTCGATCATTGTTCTCCCTTGATTTTCAGAGTGGTAGCAGCAGCAACAATGGCGCCGGTGGCATCAATCTGGGACCAGTGGTCGGAGGTCGACGGTTACCCTCGCAGCAATCGTTTCACTCGTCAAAGAACAACCATTCTCATCACTCTCGGCATCAGACAACGTCCGCGCCGCCGTCAACGCCACGGAACGCTTGTCAGCTACCCGAAATAGGAACTCGTTGTATACGTAAGTACACAGTACGTGTGTATCTTTTGTACATCCTATGTATAGGTGCCTATCGCTGTGAAACATCGGCTGAAAAGTAAAAGGCACGCTCGTCCGTTCGACTCGGGAATGAGAAGAGTTCGAATTTCTGACTGATGAACAGAACTGTTTATAAATGTGTGTCTCTCATTCACGAAAACATGCCGAGTCACGATCAGTTTGCAGTTTATTTAGAATTTAGAACGAGAAAGAATATAGGTGATATGTCAGCGAGAATCAACGAGAAGCAACGAGCGGTGAGGTCGAGCTTTTAACGGAGGGAAAACGTTACGCCTATGTTTAAATTTATCGTCGTTGTTTACGGATTGTATACGACGAGGATACGCTTAATCGAAGTACGATTAATCGTGACAATGGGCTATAAAGTGTCGTGCATCCGAACCTGGTAATCGAGTAAATTTGTGGTCGATGAATCTTCTCGCAGTTAGGGCTGCTAGGCCGGGTTTTGTCCTGGTTTCTGAGGGATCTTCTGTAGTTCCAGGTTGTCTGATGCTGACTGCTTATCTGTTCTCCTACACAATGTACACATGTCGATTTTTCAGTGTTGCTTTCGCATCAGAAGCAGTCTGAATGAACTGTCAGATTTTGTGTGTTTAAAGCACAAAAATTGCTCTAAAGTGTCCGTAGTTTTAATGCTCTTAGACTTGTGGTTATGGCAGTGGAAGAGCATCCCGTCCTCGTCAGCCATTAAAATAGATCGTTCCATTAGACAAAATCATATTGGAATCAGATTGGAATTTCGAATGAAAGATTCAGTCGACTTATTCGAGAACTGGGTTACCGGGAAATTTCTGCCTGTTGTCGACGTAATGAAAAACGAGAACATTGTCAGTAACTTTTCAGTCGGATCTTCCGCTGCTTTTCACCGTTGGAGAAGATCTTGAAGTATTCGTTTCAAGTCGGACGATGAAGTTAAGGCAACTGCGAAGTCCTCCGTCAAAAGTATATTGGCAAAATTCTTCTCCGACGGAATGAAAAAACTTGTCGAACTTGTTGGAAAGAATTTGTCGAAGTGAACGATTACAAACATAATAGGCTACTTTTTTTGGCCAATGAATTGTATTTTCATTTCCTTTTCGTCTCATTTCGATAGCTACTTTCGTTCTTCAGATACGAAGACGTTGTTCTGCGTTAATTTTCAATCGATCATCTAGTAAAATAAGTGATAGAACACTCTTGCTTATGATGAAACGCGTGAAACTGTTTGCTTGTAATGTATGTACATATGATAGTTGAAATCGATGTTGGCTAGTTTGAAACTGAACTAATACTCGCTCTGATTTAATCATGGGTTGATTTGCTTTGATTTAATCTCTTTGCTTTGAAGGACATAGGCACAGTAGAGCTCATCATCCTATTAGCCCCAAAATCCTATTATCTGGAAATACCCAATTGTCAAACAGAATATTTAATAATAATACATGCCTCTCCATTAACTATTTTACACGTTTTCACGATTAGAGATACAAGATTTAATTGAAAAACAATACCGATAGAACGTGAGAGATTGTATTTAATACCAAGAAGAGAAAACCAAAATTTCATCTGTATAAAATTAATAATATTCACAAATCCAGCATATTGAAACAAACTAATCCAGCTCGGTGTTACTGTAATTAAATCTACGATATTTTGAAGAAATTTCATGCAATGCCAGATCTCTGCATCAACCTAATAGCTCAAATCTAGAAATTCAGTGAAGTATATCACTGATTTAGTATTCCCCTAACTTTAGAGTTATCGGAAAAAGCGCATAAGAATCAAATGTTTCGCCAATGTTGAAGAGAACTCGAGCAAAAGATACATCTATTTATCAGTTAGTGCTAGTCGTTTCGTTAAAACGCCGCGCAATTGCTGATGATTGCACTATTGAACTGGTCGACTGAATTATTGACTAAACTACTGGCTGATGATGCGTTTCCACTAAACGAACGTTGTATTATTTATTTTCATCAAAT